TGGGATTTTCTTGGTCCCCTGCTTGCCTTCCCTGAGGGAGCAAGAAAGCAATGAAGTAGGACTACACAGTTCTTGACACGTGAGTTTTACATAATTATTCACTAAATTGTCTAATCTCAGAAAGTCTCAGCATGTACAGCAAAGAAAGGCATCACTCTGCTTTTCCAGTAATTCTGCAAGAGAACCCTGATGCAGTTTGAGGATGTGGACATTCACCAGTTAGCATAGAAATATGCAGATTTGTAGAAGGAACAGGGCTCTAAGTGGTCCAGCTTTCACACTTGACCTGGCAATCCATCACATGTGACACTATTCTGTCAAATAGCAGCATATGTTTATGCAAAATCTGCTCTAAAGTATGGCAAAATGTCAGAAAAAGAAGTGAAAAGTCTAAGTTAGCCTTGGCAGGAATAAGTGTTATATAGTGACTGCATTTAGCTGATAAGGAAGGAAAGGAAGAGGAAATAAGACAGTATATTATATTAAAGGTGACAACTCTGTATGATACAGGAGCCTAGACCTCATCCTTATCAGCTGCTGAAAATGACAGTTGCCATGCAGAATCTGGAAGGAAATCAAGTATATGATGATTAGGAGGGGAGTGCAATGAAGAAATCCAAAAGGGAGGCAAGGGAGAGGACAAGTGGACAGTGAGACATCCTAACCTTCCAGAGAGACTAAAGCAAGACAGCTTATGTGATGGAAGAAGCGAAGACCAGAGTAAAAAAGGTTCTGGGATTACTGATGTGAAAATTAAACTAATAATTGAGGCTGAGGACAAAAGACAAGTTAAAAAGGAGAAACAGAGTGCAACCTAATATAAAATGTTGAGGACTTGCAAAGACATGGCCTACTGAAGGGCTCTCAGGATCATATACAAATTACAGCACACATAATGAGGCATCTTTGCACTCAACCAGCCGCTGAAAAAAAAAAAAAGGCAAGCTGATGGCACTTTGTGCAAATTTCTACTAAGTGATAAAATTGCAACAAGTAGTAAAAAGTCCTAGCTCACGTACCTGAGAAGAAAGCTTCTGGAGCTCAAAGACTTAAGCAAGCTGGGAACAGAAGGGAGGACAGTGAGAGTTGAGGTGTCAAGAAAAGCTATGGTCAAAAAAAATACTGAGTATGATATTAGTCTGATGTTCTGCCAAGGCAGTTGGAACCACTTCAGGAAGGCTTTCTCCACTCCTCTGCTCTGACCACATGCCACTGAGTACACATCAGAAATGGCCATTCATAAGGTAGTTGTCGCTCCTATTTCTGTGCTATTCAGCTGCAATATAAATTACAAAAAAGGAGAAACAACTCTAATGTCACAAAAATTCGTAACAAAACTTATAAAAAATCCATGCAAACGGAAAACTGCAGAGGGTAAAGCTGTTCTTTGCCACAACCTTTTCTGTTTTGGAACATCCTTGGTTCCCACAACACACCTCATAACCCAGAAATAAGAAACCTGTTCCACATGGATCCTTGTCAGCTGAGGTAAGAGAGGAAAATCCAAGCTTGCTTTGTTTATAAAAGCCTTACAGTGTCCACATGTTACTTTTCTCTGCTTGGGCTTGAAGAGATACTTGCTGACATCTGAGTTCTGATAAGATGAAGTCTCCAGAAGAAGGTGGACACTAAGCAGTACTGCAACATAGCACTCTCACTGGAGTCAAGAAGGCACTCAAAATGAGCCACTTCCAAAGAAATTAGTAAAGTGACAAAAGCCAATTGCAGAAATAAGGCTAATAAGCAGAAAAAAATGCCCAGTGTATGAAAACTGGATGTGACAGAGAGAAGGTTTCTTGGGAGCTCCTTGAAACTCCAGCTGGGTAGATGGAACACTTTTTTACTGTTGATCTAGATTGTTTCATATGGAACTGTACAATGCTGCAAGTAAAGGGGTCTCGTTTCATGGAGAGGCACTGTCAAGAAACTGAAGTTCACTCAGAGACTTTTTGTTGGAAGAGGATCAGTGCTGTCACACTTGACTCCTCAAGACCTGACAAGTCTAATTCCAGGTCCTTTGACTGCATTCAGTCTAAGGAAAGGCACTCTACTGTACCCCCAGTAAGAGAAATTTAATTTCCCACTACCTCTGCACATCAAGCCAGAATGCCAAACTTTTGTAGGGCACTGCACAGTGCACTTTCAGGTATGTCCTCACAATGCTTGCTTAATGTCAACTGTGACAAATTAGACAAATATAAAATCTTTTAAAGTGCCAAATCGTAGCCTCAGAACAGAAGCTTCTGGAGACTTTAGTGAAGGTCCACAAACACAGCTTAGCTTCCTTGTAATAAGCACTTCTATCTCCCAGCCCTTATGGTTAGGACATGAAGTTAATGAATACCATTTTAACTTTGTAAACTCAAGAAGGGCAGTATAAAAGTGGGAAAAGGAATTTCAGTCTTTCACAAGGCAGAGCAAGACAAACTGCAGTAGGATACCTCCCACCTGGGTGTTGCAAAACAACATGGATGAATAAATAGGCTGAAGTGTGCATACATCAGGATACCAAGCAAGTTATTTGCATCTGATGAATCCAAGATGCATCTGTAAGAACGGATGGACAGGCAGATCTCTCAGGCTGCTTCCAACTCAGCTAGTCAATCTACACCATATGCAGATTACCTAAATGGCTCCAGGGATGTCTGCATCAGCCAGTCGGTGCAGTCTCCATTAGAGATTTCAGCGCTAGCTGTGAGCAGGCTTGTAAGCCAATACAGCACTCAGTGAAATACTAGCTTAGGTCTTGGAAGCAATACAGATGTCTTCTTTAGCCTATATTCATTCATTCGCTTGTCTCTACCTTCTGGAGGCAGCTTCCTCCCTTAATATCTGTTCAAAACAACGACCTCCTCTACCCAAAACAAGAAGTCCACAAGACACATCTGCAGAAAACAAATTCATGTACTTTGCAGGCTGAAAAAGAAATATAGCTCTCTTAAGGGAATGGGAGTATCCCTGAAATTTTATTGCAAAATTGGAACAATACTATTCAGTTTTCTGCTTATATAAATAGACTACTTGATATTTGTATTTGCTCTGGTCTATTTCTATAGTAATAGTGGAAGGTATGGCAATGCATCTACTGTTAGACAACTTTTAAACAACTATGTATATTATTTCATTCAGCCTCTCTCTGCATTCAATTCACAAACATTTGAAATAACAGTAAAGGCCAAAAAAATATAATGGATGGAAGCCATGCTGAAAACAATGGGGTGGCCAAACTAAGCTCCCCAAAGCAATCTAATGCACCACACTGAATATCTATGCTTGTTGTAAGATGAGCAGTGTGACAAACACTACCTGCAAACTGAAAATTATCATAAAATCCCACCCACATTGCACCATAAAGCCTGAGAGGAAAAACAGAGGTTTGACTTGGTATTTCTAGCCGGCTAAAACAGAACCTCTCAGGAGTCATAGGTGCGGAAAGATGTGTTCCACTTGAGATGAGGCGTGGGACCCTTCACCCTTGCTAATCCCCTGTGATTTAAATCGTGCAGTCTGACTTATTATACCAGAAGCTTACATTTAATGCCTTTATTAATTAGAAAAATTAATATGTTTAAAAATGTAAGCATTTTAACAGTTTCACCAGGGTCAGCCACACCTTCCTGTCACTGTTGGGGAATGGGACAAGTTCCCATATCGCTGTTTGTTTCTGGGCGCAGCACCACATTTTCGGTTATACTGAATGGGAAATCCCGATAGCGAGATGACGCCCTTTAGTTTGCTCTTGAGGGAAAAGGCACTGAAACCTCCTACAGACTTTTGGCATCATGCACTCAGGTAATGCAATGCAACAGCAGTCAGCCACACCTCCAGCTACACTGTGGCTATGCTCAGTATTGATTTTCTGAAAAGCTGGGTTGGGCAAAAGAGGTGTATGAGATTGCACTGCAGAAACCAAAAGGAAACCTAGAACTTAAGGAATTTCACAGAATGGCACAAATAACTCAAAAGCTTAAAAAAACCCCTAAATAAATAATTTTTAAATCACATTTTTGCAGCTATTATTTTGCACCACTGGAAATACTGTGCAGGGTGATGTTTCTGCTACAAATTTTGGCACGTTTTTTGTCCTCTCAGCTGTTTTGTTACATTCAGATATTCACACTCCCCAGTGCAAATAGTTTCTTTTTTTCCAAAGCAGCAGGCTTTCACCAGGAGTCAGCTAACCTCTTTGAGACTAGAAGCTGGAAAGTGAAATGAGTATTACTGACGCCATTAGTTTGTGCATCCGGTCTTGGGGTTTTGTTGCTGTTGGGGTAGGGGGTTTTTTGTTTGTTTTGGTTTGGGTTGTTTTGTTTGGTTGGTTTTGGTTTTTTGGTTTTTGGTTTGGCTTTTCTTTTTTTCCTGTTCCCAGTTAGAGATTGCTAACCAGTTAGCTCTGTGCAGTTTCTTTCTCCCACCACTCATACAGAAAATTCTCACACTGTCCTTTTGTAATCCCCTGTTGACACTTGAATATGATCTGATTTCCAGGTGCTTCTCTCTGCTCCCTTCCTTCTGCTCTACATTCAGATAAAAATAAAAGCAGCCTATTTGTTGACCCCAATTACAATGCAAAAACTGTATGGGATAGACTGAAAAAGAATGTGTCTGTTCTGACCCAAAGATACCACCTTGCAGGGAAATGTGTGCAATAAAGTATACCAGTTCAAGTTTCCCTTTTCACAGTTTTTAAAAACATGCATGCCATTAATACACGTGCTAAAGGTTCTCCATGGATTCTGTTAAATCACAGAGCTGGATTCAAATTCATTTCTGCTTCACCCTGGGAATTCTTTTTTGCAAACCAGTACATGAACCCACTTTGGAGTCTAAAGCAGCAGGTGCCATGTTCAGAGGAGGGAGAGAGATGCATGCACTTCATAAAAAGCCAAGTAAAAATTGCTGCCATTTAGCAGAGGGAGAATTTAAATTTAATTCCATTAAAAGCAGGGAGAACAAGCAGTGTGTGTGCACAGGCTGGCAGCAGATGCATGTGCGCTTACCTCAGCCCACTGTTTGGCTCTTCATCGGAGGAGAAGGTGCCGTTGCAGATATTGCTGAAGGAGTGGCTGGGCTTCAGCTTGGGTTCCTCACAGTCTGAGGCAGGCTCTCTTTTCTTCCTCTTGCTGAAGAGCTTCTTGAAAGGCTGGAATTTGCCTGCCTTTTTCTTGTCTGCGGATGACAAGACAGAGCAGCGCGGGGCTGAGGGACGCGGCTGGCAAGCACACGCCGCGGCAGCAGGTTCAAAGGAGGAATGAGGTCAAAGAGCAAGTCACCAGCCCGGAGCAGCCCAGCACTTGAGATGTAAATGCCGGGCTGCAACTTGCTGTTGATGCGTCATATTGACAAAGCAAAGGAGAGTGCACTAAAACATCTGTTCTTGGGTTTAAGGATCTGTTTGGAGGTGTCAGCGCAGCCGACCGCTTCGATGAACAGAAGAGATAATTTTGCATAGCCAGAATGTAACGCTGCAGCTTATTTTTAGGCTTTACACCACAGTTTTGATCATTTTACCAAAAGACAAGCATTGCTTTGGTTACCCCACTTTGGAAGGTGCTGGATCCTCTGCCTTGAATTAGAGGCAACTGAAACCAACCAGCTGTGTTTTAGTTATGTGTCTTCATAACCAGACAAGACAATTTATAAATGAACAAACAAAACAGGATAAAGTTCTGTTGGTTTGCTGCTGGGTTACTTCAATAAACATCCAGCTTTATATCAGGAAAGTCAATACATTTCTCTGACTTTTTTCCCCCCAGGTGACTGAGGACAAAATTTGACCAAGCATTTCTTCCTTGAGACACTGAAATTTTCAAAGCTACACCAAAAAAGCATAGCAAAACACAAAACAGACATGAAGACGGAAACAAGAAATAAAAAACTTAACCAGGAAAAAAAAAAGTAACTTTTTTTCCACCAAAGACTGGAGAAAATAAAGGTAGCTTTCAGCTACTATCCCCACAACTATTCAGAAGAAGTACCATGATTTTCTTGCTAGCCACTGTCAAGAAAAGATTAATTTCTCAGGGCTGGGATGCATCAAAGAATATCTGAAACATAATAACGTTTAAAAAGAGTTTTATTTCTTTTCTGCTTCACTTTAATTTTGCATTGAATCTACTTGGAACAAGCTAGTTTGTTTTTTTTTTTAAAGAAAACCCAACTCTTAGCCCCCTATCATAATCTGAGAAGCATCATTTTGTACTGGTGGCAAATATTTTCATAAGATCTTTAAATTCCTGTATGTGCTTTTCTCACAATCTGTGTGCATATACACTGCCTCAGCATGCTCCACTCTTCCTATGGGCTGTGGCTCAACAGAAAGCAGCGGTTTGGTTGGAAAGTATATGGAGGCCCCTGTAGGAACATTTGACCAGGAAACTTGGACAATCTTATGTAATGCAATAGCACTCTTCAATTCCACATTAGGTTTTACACTCCACTCTGCTATACCTGAGCATGGCAAAGCCAAATCTGGGTAAAACTCCTTTGTAGTTGCTGGAGGTATAGCTGCAGAGTATTCAGAGAGAGAAAATGTGCCCAAGCACATTGTGATCTGCCTGCTTCCTGTGGTAAGTGGTTTCCAAACCAGCATGGTGCCAGAGAGCCCGAGTTGAACTCGGGGTGGGATCAAACTTACACAAAGTGAATCTATCTGTACCTGATTACAGATGAGGTAGGACATGTAGACTGAAATGATGAAGTCAAAGACGCAACAGATAGTAATTCTGCATTTCCTTTAAAGATCCCTAAAAAGTTCATACAGATATAATTCCTCACTTTGGGCAGTCAAGACACACAGCATTTGTGCAACTTGATTAAGACAACAATGCATCCCAGTAGCAGCATAAAGATAAAAAAGCTGAATTATGAACCTCAGATTCAGGCCCAGCATTAGAATTTTTTGATTCAGAATCACTGACCCACAATGAGCAGATGAGAAAAACAACAAGCGCTGAAGCAGCAGTTTTACCAGGGTAGGAGAAAAAGGGGTACTCAACCTCTCCCTCAGCTCTGCTTTCCATAAGCTGACCAACTCACATCTCCAGCCAGACCAATTTTTTGCTGCTGAATTCTGACTTTGGAGAAATATATTCTTACATGGAACCCCTAACAGACAGGCAGGCAGTCATGCAGAGAAATAAAGAAATTATTGCTCTTGGCCAGAGCTGATCCAACCCTTCACACACCTCAGAAACTGACTGGAAAACTCCATAAATCAAATGGTAGAGCATACAGAAGAGAAAGCATCAGCACTGGACACAACACTGGGTGAAAGACCTATTTGTCCACAGTTCCCACCTTGCCTGTTTGCTCCGCCTTCTTTGAAAGGGAAGACTGTGCCATGCCCTTTCTGCTGGTTAATGCAATTTACTGCATAAATCAATTCAACTACAGCATTTTTAAAAAAAGGTTCTTACCATGTCATTCATCCCCATTAGCCTTGTCCCCTCCTCTTCTGGAGGTCTTCAGATATAACTGAATTTCCTCATTGACTCTAAATCTACTGTACTGATTCACCAACTATGAATCTAGGTGTTGAACAAATATAACAGGTCACCACAGCTTTCATTTCATGAAAATGGGTGAAAGCCAACACTCCTATCTCCAGCCAAGATCTGCTTTTCTCTATATGATTTAACATGTCCCTTAGCTGTTTCTGCTGCATACCCCATCATCACAGTTGTCACATTACTAAGCATGAATTCTTTAAATTAGGCTTTGTGATTCATTCCAAAACCAATGAACACCCTTCCCTGCACAGGCTGCGCACACTGTTCCCCATCCTGCCAGTAGCCTGCCCTTCCAGGTATCTAAGGAAGGAATGCCTGACCACTAAGACAAAGTCTGTTTATGTAAATTTTTCACAAGATTTTATGGAGGAATTTACCCCTATAGGGTAAAATGCTTCAGTAAACCAGTAAACCAGTAAAACAAGTACAAGGAATCCAGACATCAGCAATGCAACAGACAATGCCCTGCACAAAAGCCTTTTGCATCTCTAATGCTGAAACACAACTCCTCCCTTCCATCCATCTCTAGTGTTGAGAAAAAAAAATGGGATAGGAAATGCTGAAGGCTAGGACACCCAATGCTGTCAACTTGCAGCAAGGACAGTTGCTGGAAGTGCCAGGAAATAAGTCTGCTTACATGGGCCATTTGCTTTTCTCCTTAATCACTTGAATGGGAATCCTGTACATCCAGCCCCAGGAGACCAAGGGAAATTAGTAATTAAATGTTTTTTCCTGTCTGTTTGACAAGTCTATCTTGTTCAAATCACTGTAAACAGTTAACAGTAAATCAGTTTTGAATCACAGAATAACATAAGGTGTGAAGGCGACAGATAAACAAGTTTGGATACACTAGCTAGAATAACACAGCACAGATGGTACATGCTCCCGTCTCAGCTATCAGAAGACTAGCAGAACAGATTAGAATAATCTTTAACCTGTCATATAATTCGTCAGATGCACGAAGACACACAGTGCCTAACATAGAGCCAGCAGAGAGCATCAGTATCATGAAGGCAGCACATGGTCCTTCCACTCCTAGTGACAGAAGGGAGCAGCTTCTCTCATGCTCTCTCTTTCATGCTCTCCAAGAAAGATGAAGGCGAGTGCAATGGGCTTTACTGCCAGTAAATCAGTCACAGCCTTTGGACTCCAGCTGGCAAAGTCTTATCAATGTGCCAGCTGAAAATTCCCCATAAGACATCTTGTTATTAAACTACTCGAATGTCACCCAAATCCATTGGGATTCCTAGGCTTAATTCCTCCTTAATCCATCCCATCAAAACCAGCACAGAGTCCTCAACACAAGCACAGGTCAAACAAAGACTTAACTACCACACTTATAGAGAGAAGAAATTTAAATGACTGGAAAGAGAGTGAGCAGTGTATCCCAGAAAACAGGATCAATGTAGGGGTGAGGTTATGCCAGTGGACGGGACAGAGAAGATGCCAATGTCATTGGAAATATCTGAAAAATAATTTTCAAGCAAAGCAAGCTTCACATGAGAAACAGAAAGACTCACATAATCGCAGAAAAGACACCTATATATTTAACAAGGTGTGGGTTCCTTGCTTTTCCTATTTGCTGCAGTGCTGGGGGCACTCACAGTACTGTGGGTGAGGAAACCTGCAGGGCGAGACCTCTCCAAGCACAGCTGACCAAGCACATGCATCGGTTGGTAGGTAGGAAGATGATCGTTGAGGGGAAAAACAAATAAAACCAGGATTCATAGTGTCAATTTAAAGTTGAAGTTACTGTGGCCAGGATTTTTCAAGCCCCAGTTTTGAAATGGGATTTGCAGAGATTTCACAGACTTTATTGCTCATTATATGAGATGCAGCATCTGCCTATAACACTTCTCCTAGAATGAGATATTGCACAGGACCTCTCTCCAGAAGAATGTGTTCCTTGTTATTGAATTTAATGGCTACAAAATATGGTGTAATAAGCTAGATTAATGAGAATATAAATTATTAAACTGAATAGAAATTTCTATAAAGAATTTAGAGAATGAAAATCCATGTGCATGCATCATTAAGAACTGTGTGGCAGAGAGAGGGCACATGGATTACTGGTCTGCAGGCTCAATACAGCAGCCAAGGCAAAAAAGGGAACTAAAAGATATTAAGAGGGTAAGTTGACTGACATCTCTAATTACATCTCTACAACAGAAAAAGGCTGTTATGAAACACAATGCCAGAAAAAAACCCCACCTTGATTTCAAGCTAATGATATTTCTTATTGATGTTCTTTTTAAAATAACCCAGGATGTATCCACTACAGTAAGCAGTGCCCTGTAGAGCTCTGGGTTGGCCATGCACCTGCACAAACTTGTTTGCTTTTCAGGTCCCCATCAAAAAGCCACCCTTCCCTCCCCCTTGCCCAGTCTGTTCTCACAGGCCATAGAGCTTCTCTGTGCAAATCAGGATTGACACTTGCCTCCAGCTTTCCCACCCACTCCACGACTCAGCACATCCATCTCTGTGAGTCCCCAGAGATGCTCGTTACTGATATAAATTTGCAGCACTCCCTGGAGAGGTGTTTCTACTCCTCCAGGAAAGGAAAACAAATTGTTTGGGATCATGGAGTAGCCTCTGCTCCACTTAACCATGTTCTCATGTTTTAAAATAGGTGTGAGCTCCCGTACCTGTTGTAGCTCA